TGAGAGTACTGGACTTAAGAGTGCTGGACTTGAGAGTGCTGGACTTAAGTGTGCTGGACTTGAGCGTGTTCTTGTCGATTCTTCTTTTCCCTCTTTAAACCAAACCAATCAAGACCAAGACCACTCCGGTTATCTCAAGGACCAATTACAAGATCACAAACCAAAAAATTGAAGAAATCAATTGCGGTCTTGGTGTACTCTAGACCAGACCTAAACCAAGACACCAATTTCGACCAGGCCTTTACTGATGAGTTTCTTGCCCATTTTCACCAAGAAATATCAACAAATTCAGTCAATGTCGTGGGCAAACAAGAGCCATTCAAAGAAGAACTCAATTCTGGTCAAAATTCAAGTCTTGCCTAGTTTTTATCTTAGTCTTCATCCCTAGTTTCTATGTTTCTTATTTTCTGCACTTTGTCTTTTCATTTCCACAGATTGTAAACCTATAAAAAGGCCTAAGTTGCCATAAATAAGATCATTCACCTTTTTGTTTAAAAACTCTTTCAAATCTGTGAATCCCTTGTTCAGCTTCTGAACATTGTATGCCTAGGAGTTGATTCTCTGCAAGGCTCTTTGCCTCTGATCATTGTTTGTGGGCGTGATACTCACGATCATTGGCACTTCTACACAAGTGTTTGATATCTCCATCGATCTCACACTGAACACCATCACCATCTCGACTTCTATCCATCATTCCATTCATCATCACTCTGTCTCGACAAAATACCATCTATTCGATCAAAAACCATCAGAGATGACGAACCAAAATCAACGCTTAATATCATCAAGGGATTCAAACCAGTAAGGGTTTCATTATTGAGATTAACACACCTCTTAATCCAAGGGCTGAGACTAGACTTTTATGTTTTGACGAAGACGAATGGTAGCGAAGCTTTGTGTCCATAGTGAAGCATTGCGTCCGTTAATGGAGTTGTGACTCCTGATTGGCATCTCTTCCTCTGTTTATATGTTTGATAAACAGTTTACAAATTCTCATTTTCAGTTTTCTGATTTCCTGACTTTCTTCCTTCTTTTCACCCTCTTGGCTTTTGATCAGCAATTATATTCTACGTCTATTCCATTACATAACTGTCAACGTATGTTTTCTGGTACGTCTCATAAACTTAATCATTGAACCAGATCCAGAGTCACGATAATGCAAGAGTCTAAGTATCGCCTTCTAGAAAACTTTAAGGTTAAATTTGAAAAACTTCAAACTTCCAAGAACTAGGACATTATATACATATATCACCTTGATCGTATATTTGTGTGTAAATGTCTCATTTTCTCTCTGATCCCTCCTCTCTCTCTTACTCTCTCGCTCGCTCTTCCCACAGAGCAAATGGTGATGAAGAAGACGAAGATGTCAATTACGTTTGAAACAGAGGAAGACATTTACGATATATAGTGTAGATAAATTTTAAATCACTAAGGCGTATTAAAGGAGTTGCCCTAGAGATGGGATTTGGACTTCTTGGGATCCCATGTTCACTGTTATTGAGCATCTTCTCCGTCCTACATGTGGTCATTGCCACCAAAACTTAAAACTCTCTCTCTTCTTCTCCCTTCCGGCGACTCTCTTCTTCTCCCTTTCGGCGAAGTCACCGCAACATTACGGTAATTGTGATCTCTGGCTTTCGATGTCTTTGGAATATTATAGGAATGAAGAAGAAGAGAACAAGTGAAGTGGTGACGTGAGGAGTTCTAGTCTCATGTAAGACGAATATAAGCTTATATGCGGATTCAATAATACAACAAAAAAAAACATCAGACGAAAAAAATTTTACGAGAGAAAACAAGGCTTATTATTATTTTATCTTTTTTTGGCAATCGTGTTTTCAAGTTGAATATTGTATTTACGACTTGTAATTTCTTTATAGATTTGCTTGGAGCGCCCATGCTAGACATTACTTTCTATAATGTGGCAGTAACTTCGCCGGACGGAAAAAGAAGATGTTTAACGTTTGTCGGTTTATGACCACATAGAGGAAGGGGACGATGCTTCATAATTCTCTTTTTTCTTAATTTTTCTACTTCTTAAAAGCCATAAAAAATTGTTATAATACTCACCATATGGTTTTCAATTATTAACAAGTCAATAATGAGGCTGTGACTTTGACAGAAGGGAGAAGAAGAAATATGTTTATCGTGGCAGCTAAAGGCAGGACTAATGGGGAGGGGGTTTAGAGGGTTGCTTAGGGATAGGGGCCCAGAAAAAAAGAGGAGGATTCGGTTGCAAGATGGCCAAAATAAGCACTATCTTTTGGTGGATGCTTGGACTGTTCGTGGATCCCATGGACACGTGGCGGCCGCGATTGGTCTGTTTAAAAATAAAAAAATAAAAAATAAGCACCCCAAAAGGAGTGTTACGGTTAAAGATGGCCAATGTGCATTGTAATTTATTAATTTTGTTTTCTTAATTTAAAATTATTTGCTAACTCTTATTTAAATTCAGTTTTGTTGAAGGAAACAATTGAATAATTAAAAGGAACTGATTGGATGATATGACTGTTTAGAAGAGTACGTATGTGTTTTCATATGGGATACAAGAGTATAAATGAAGGGACATGGCAGTTTGTAGATTTATGTTAGGTCTTGGGTTTTTGGCCAAAAAAAGGAAGCGGCATGATATGGATGGACTGATTCTATGTGAATATGGTTCATAGGTTGAAGGGGTACATATGTTGTCTAATTTTCGAGGTTCTAGCTATACCCCGTTTTTGAACAAAAGCACGCACCTTAAGTTTTGATATTCCATGTTTCCATTCCATAACACTATGAATTTTGAAACACTTACATGTCTCAAGTTTTGATATTCCATGTTGCCATAACCCGTACATTATGAATTTTAAACATTTATTTTTGTTTTACAATGATTTGCAAAAAATGTCTTTTCAAAATACTAAGCTAACACTTCTTCTATGGAGGTTCAATAATTAACATTAAGAGATGGTACCAAAGACATACATTAAGGGAATCCTAAAACATAGAAAATGAGAAGGGTGAAGGGTATAAATTTACTGAAAATGTCTTTTCAATAATTAAGGTTCAATAATTAAGATTATGAGAATACCAAAAACATAGGGAGTATAAAAAGATATACAATGAGATGGATGAAAGGTATAAATGCAAATCGGAAAATCTAATAGTATGAGAAGTAATAAAGAAACCAAGTATATTTTTCAAAAAAATTATGCTTTGAAATTTTAATATATAAATCTTGAAAAGGTATATCATTTGCTATTTTTGAAGGTATGGGCTGTTTGAGAAAAAAACTCTTCAGAGAAGAGTGCGAGAAAACATTAGAACATTACAACCAAGAAAATTAGACAATTATGACTGAAGGATTGTAACTCTTCACTTTTTATAAACTATATAAGATTAGGAAATAGTACACTTGTTACCTATCTAAAAGGTTGATGATATTTTTCTCAGGAATGGAAGCCCTAGCTCTGACGGCGACAATTTTGGATATCAGGAACGCGATGGTTTCGAACGGATTTCTGGCGTAGATCAACGCTCTCCGGTGATAGATCGACAAGAATCCGGCTAACCGTTGTTGGCTGGTGGTTTCTACTTCACAGGAATCGATCTTTGTCGGTTTCTTCCTTGTCACGCCACTCATCATTAGTTGTTGATCGTTGCTTTCTGGTGGTGTCCATTCTCTGGTGATATTTGTCCTCCAACTTTGACTTTGTCCCGGATATAGATCGTCTTACGCTCTCAAGGAGTCGACCCTCGTCAATTGTGCTCTGTGAGACGGATCTCCTATCGTCGTCGTTACGAAAGGATCGGCTAACGGATCTCCTATCGGCTTCTTCAGTGTCGATTGTGCTTTGTGAGACCATGGTGATAGGAATCCTCGAGTCGATTATCTCTGATTGGTGTTACGAAACGGATCAGGCTTTTATCTCTCTTCCGAGGAGTTCGATCACGGATCATTAATCTCTTTGACTTCGTGAATGACTGTGGACTACGTGAACGGCTCATAAAACTCGACTGGATCTTTCTATGGGGTCAGCAGGTCGTTTTTAACTCTGCTCATATGGCAGATGTTAAAGGCAAAGGTATACTTTACGAGGATGATGATGAACCGATTAAACTATCTGAGAATGATGACTCTTTCGTCATAAAGGAATTCCGTATGTCGCTTATCGGAAAGGTCCTAAACCCTAAGAAGCAGGACGTTGAGAAGCTGGTACAAAAAATGCCGACTCAATGGGGACTTCAAGATAGAATTACTGCGAATGATTTAGGGAATGGGAAGTTTCTCTTTAATTTTAGCTCGGAGGATGAGCTAAACTCTGTCCTTCGACAGGGTCCGTTCCATTACAACTACTGTATGTTTGTATTGGTGAGGTGGGAGCCTATTGTACATGACGACTACCCATGGATAAATCCCCTTTTGGGTTACGTTTGTTGGTATGCCATTGCATCTATGGACGGATAGAAATTTGAGGAATATTGGTGGTCGTCTTGGACATGTGGATACTGTGGATCTATCGGAGGGGCGACTGCTAATCGATATTGACTCGCGAAAACCATTAAAATTCAAGAGGAAAGTGCAGAGTCCTGAGGGGGATGAAGTCACCATTGAGATTAAATATGACAAGCTTTTTAAGCACTGTACAACTTGTGGCCTTATGTCACATGAGAAGGGATATTGCCCGTTAGTGATTAATACCTCTCGCGATACTGCAGAGAGAGCACCAGTGTTTGACCGTGTTCAGCTCCCTCAGTCTTCTACAGATAATCATCCTATGCAGGGGGGATCTCGAGCCACACATGCTGGTCTAAGGGGAAGCGATAATGTTTCAGGCCGTATGCCCTTACTTGGCTCCTCGCGGATAGCTTCTGCAACGAGTGATGGAAGCAGAGATACCTATTCCCGTGGTTTTGATTCACGCCATAGACATGATAAGCGAACTGGTGCTCGGGGGACTTTTGAATCACGACTGTGAAGTGGTACTTTTCACAACAAACATCACCCTAACAGGGTAATGAGGAGAAGGAATGAAAGGCATGACTCCTCAAGATCCACTAGCTTCCGCCATGGTCAAGGTCCTTATGACCGTGATACCACATCGTCTTGGCGTGTCAAAAGGAGGGAACAGGATGTTACTGCCTCTACTATGGAATGTGGCGCAGCTAGCGGTGATTCGGTGGTTCCATCGAAACATGACGTAGCTAGTGTTCAGATGGAAAAAGACAGTTTGAACACTCAACCTAACTGTGATGTTATTCCATCAAGTGATTTGGGACAGAGTAAGCGGCTGGCAAGTACCATAGTATCGCCTGCATTGAGACTGAGTATGGAGGGTAACGTTACACTGAGGAACAAGAGTGTGCAAAAGCCACTTACATTTGCTTCACATGAGTCTCCGCCTGAGGCTGGTGAGAGACAAGTCATTGGGGCGCTATCGGACATGGAGGTACAACATGAGGATGGAGTTGATGATCAGTTGCTGGCTGGGGATGATCTTTTTGACGAGGAATTAAAGGATTTGGAGGATAAGTCACACTCTCCTGAAGTAATACTTCCACGGCGCAGAGATCAAGTTTCAAATGACAAAAAATCGGCTAGGAGCAGTAGCAGGATAGATCCACCGCTGGGGAATAAGACAACGAAACCGGAGTACCTCCGTCGAGGTTCTCCACGACTCAGAGCACATATGTCCTCGTCTCACAGATTGGGAGCAAGTGAGAAGCCTTGGTGTTCGCACCATAGAGCCAGAAAGACGGACGAGGAGACAAACAAGGGTGAGGGTTTGATGGGTTCCCATAATCCATCCCCCCTACATCAATGAGGACAATCAGTTGGAACGTTCGAGGGATAGGAAACAACCTCACAGTTTGACGCCTTACGGAGATGTGTCAGAAGCATCGCCCAGGATTTGTGTTTCTCTCTGAGACGAAGAATAGGAGGCTGCTGTTGCAAGACATTCAGGCCGACTTAGGATTTGATCATTTGTTTACCGTTGAGCCACTTGGTCTCAGCGGAGGTTTAGCTTTATTTTTTATGGATGAATTTCAAGTTAATGTAATTTTTTCAAATAACCGAATGATTGACATTGAGGCAGTCATTGATGGAATAAAAGTCTACATGACATTTGTTTATGGGGACCCTGTACTTGAGAGAAGAGATTTAGTATGGGAGCGTCTTACGCGCTTCTCAACAACAAGAAATGGACCTTGGTTCATGATAGGAGATTTTAATGAAATTACATGTCATGCAGAGAAGGAAGGAGGCAGACAACGCCCTGATAGCTCATTTCTGCCCTTTAGACAGATGTTAAGTGATTGTGGTATGTTAGAATTTCCTTATACAGGGAACATGCTATCTTGGGTTGGAAATAGAGCAGGGAGGACGACAGTTAGATGCCGACTTGATAGGGCTGTTGGGAATGAAAACTGGCATGAAAAATTCCCCCATTCAAAAGTGAAGTATATGAGACTCTGGGGATAGGATCATCGTCCGATACTAGCTGATATTTTGAGAAAGAAACCTAAGAGAACAAGGAATTTCAAATTTGATAAGAGATGGTTAGATAATAAGGAGCTCAGGTAAATTATACTTGAGGGATGGAAGTCACCGGACCTCCCACCAGACGCAAGTATAATGGAGCACATTGCAAGCTGCAGGCGAGCATTAAGTGAATGGAAAAGACAGCATAATCTGAACTCAGAGAAAATAGTGGAGGAGTTAAAGGAAAAGGTCGATCGCTTATCCTCAAATGATGATGCCACTACTGAGGAGATTGCGGCAGCTATTAAGGAATTATCTGACGCTCTTAAGGCGGAGGAGATGTTCTGGAAACAGAAATGTCGGGTTTTCTGGTTGAGAGAGGGGGATAGGAATACTAAATTTTTTCATGCCCTTGCGAAGCAAAGGAGAGCAAGGAATAGGATTACCCAATTACTGAATGAAGATGGAAATTTTGTGGAGGATGAGGAAGGGTTAGTAGCCATTGCTACAAATTGTTTTAGACACATTTTTCAATCTTCAAATCCCGAGGCAATAGAGGAAGCACTCTCTGAAGTATCTACAACAATTACCTCAGCAGATAATGCGACTTTAACGGCTCCGGTCACTGAGTGGGAGGTGAAACTAGCTCTTTTTGCGATGCACCCAGAGAAAGCTCCAGGACCGGATGGAATGACGGCGTTGTTCTACCAGAAATTCTGGGATATTGTAAAGGATGATCTAACTCTTATGGTTAATCAATTCCTTTTCGAGTGAGCGGTGCCATCTGGCCTAAATGACACCAATATATGTCTCATTCCAAAAGTGGAGAAGCCAAATCAGATGAGTCAGCTACGCCCTATTAGCTTATGCAATGTTAGCTACAAGATTATCTCTAAGGTCTTATGCCGGAGATTAAAGAAGTTTCTTCCAGATAGGATCTCAGAGACCCAGTCAGCCTTTGTTGCTGGAAGACAGATATCTGATAACATTATGATAGCTCGGGAGATGTTCCATGCTCTAAAAACAAAACCGAGTGGCCAAAATAAGAGGATGGCTATCAAAACAGATATGAGCAAGGCCTATGATAGAATGGAATGGTCTTTCATTGAGGCAACCATGAGGAAGATGGACTTTTCTGAAGTTTGGATAACGATGATAATGAGATGTGTAACTTCAGTAAAATATAAGGTCCTTATGAATGGACAGCCAAGAGGAAATATTTTCCTGGAGAGAGGTCTACGACAAGGAGATCCTCTGTCCCCTTTCATTTTTATTCTGTGCACGGAAGCGCTCGTTAGCCTTCTAAATCACACTGAGAATCAAGGGAAGATAACAGGGATGCGCATTACGCGTGCGTGTCCTTCGGTATCTCACCTTCTCTTTGCTGATGATAGTCTGTTTTTCTGTAAGGCGGAGCCCCGTGAATGTGAAGAAGTAATGAAAGTGGTCACGATATATGGACAAGCTTCAGGACAATGTATTAATTTTGAGAAGTCTTCTTTACTCTTTGGTAAAAGAATCGGACAGGATGTGAGACAAGAGATCAAAGACACACTCGGGATCCAAAATGAAGGAGGAATGGGGTCATACCTGGGTATACCAGAGGATATCAGTGGGTCCAAATGTAAGCTCTTTGCTTTCCTTAAGGACAAGCTGAGAAGTAGAGTGAATGGATGGACTGGGAGATGGCTTTCTAAAGGCGGGAAAGAAGTTATGATAAAATCAATCCTGCTTACCCTTCCAACGTATGTAATGTCTTGTTTCCTGCTCCCATTGGAGATTTGTGAGAATCTAGCTAGGGCCATTGCACAATTCTGGTGGAGCTCAAATCCGCCAAAAAGGGGTATTCACTGGTCAACATGGGAAAAACTATGCCTACCCAGAGATGAAGGCAGGATTGGTTTTAGGATGATTCACGAGTTTAACCTGGCGCTACTGGCAAAACAATTATGGCGACTGGTACAAAACCCGAATTCTCTGGTTGCTCGCGTCTTGAGAGGCCGGTATTACAAATTGAGTACGCCTTTGCGTCAAATCAATACTAGCAGTCCCTCATATGTGTGGACAAGCATATCGGCCGGAAGAGAATTGCTACTATTAGGAATTAGACAAAAAATTCATTCGGGGTATGAGGTTAAAGCTTGGGAGGATCCTTGGATTCCTACTATACCAGCGAGACCGGCAATCCCTTTGGCACCGATTCTACATCTGAATATGCGTGTGAGCGATTTGATAAACCAAACGACGAAGACTTGGGACGAAAGACGACTTCAGGATTACATTAATACGGAGACATTCCACTCATCAAGAGCATGGCTATTAGTTCCACACACAGACGGGATACGTACTGCTGGAGCTATACAAGGACTGGACAGTATACCGTTAAATCTGGATACTAGGTAGCACGTAATATCTTGAGGAAAAAAGACGAAACTGAAGTATGTGAGCCTAATATTACAATGCTCCAAGCACATGCGTGGAAGGTCAGGGCTCCCCAGAAGATTCGCCATCTTATGTGGCAGGTGATTACAGGACATGTAGCTGTCACAAGCATTTTAAACTACCGACATATGAGATGTGACAACTACTGTCCTCGATGTGGGGAGCCGGAGGAGACGATCACACATGCAATATTCGAATGTCCACCTGCTTTACAGACCTGGGCGCTATCATCTACGCCTACCAATCCAGCTATGTTCCCAGTTCAAAGCACGTACGCAAAATATGGATTATCTGTTCTGGAGGAAGAATGCAATAATGGAACCGGAATTGGATAGGGATCCTTATCCTTGGCTGATCTAGTACATTTGGAAGGCTAGGAATGATAAGTTATTCCGAGGCATTGATAGGGATCCATTGGAAGTTGCACGTTACACAGAAAGTGAATGCCAAGCATGGTTCCAAGCAAATGAGCAGGAAGTACCGTCTCCTCTTGGGGATGGAATAGGGAACGACCAGGCCTTAAGCTTGGGAAACATCTTCATGGTGGATGGATCTTGGACTTCAACGGACTCCTTTAGTGGATGTGGGTGGATTTTGACTGATACTTCTGGAAATAGCCAGCTACTGGGGGTGCGTAATTTTGATCGAGTGGAATCGGCGTTGCATTCAGAGTTGGAAGCACTGCGGTGGGCAATGGAGAACATGCTTCAACATTCGCCATGTCAGAGCTTTGGAACTGATTGCAAGGAGATGATCGAAATGCTCAGGAATCCTCAGGCATGGCCTAGCTTCTCAACAGAGTTGGAAAAATTGATGACGCTGAAGATCTGCTTTCCTGACTTCAAGATCTCTTATGTTCCTAGACTTCAGAATGGTGTTTCTGATTATCTAGCTAAGTTAGCTAGGTCCTTTTATCGTAAGCTTGTGTACATTGGTTGTTCTGTTCCGGTCTGGTTACCCAGACCACCTAAAGTCGTTTGAGTTATAGAGCAGTCGTTTGATGTCAAAAAACATTTGTTACCCATCTGGGATGTGTTGTTAGAAAAGAAAACTATCATGGAAAGAACTGCCAAATAATATATTCTTGATAACATAAACATTCACAGTAAGAATAGTAGAGTACTTTAGATCACAGAGAAAGAATAATATGACTATTGGATTGAAATCTTTTTTTCTATAAAAAATTTAGCCACCAGGTACAGAATTTAGGTATGCTTTTACATCTTTTTGACCACAACGTCTACATAGTTTCAAATAAATTTTGAATATTGGACTTGTCGTGATAATTTAGTTTACTAGTTTAATAAATAAAAAAGGAAAATCCCATGGGTCTTTTGAGAAAAGTTATATAAACCCAAAGAACAAGGGGGTCTTAGATTTCATGACATTGGTCATTTCAATCAGGCTTTGCTTGGGAAACAAGCTTAAAGGATTTGGAATAAGCCTGATTCTTTGGTTTCTAAAATTCTTAAAGGAAGATATTTCAAAAATGGTATTTTCCTTGAGTGTGGAATGGGGACACGTCCATCGTATGCATGGAGGAGTATCATGCACGGTAGGGAATTACTCAAAAAGGGATTATATCGGCATATTGGAAATGGGATTAATACTAATGTTTGGGCTGAAAACTGGATTATTGACACCGTTTCGCGACCTCCAATGTACCGTGAGAACAGCTCAATAAATCTAGCGTTAAAAGTCTCAGATCTACTCCTGCAGGGATCTAACCAATGGAATATTAATATGTTACAACAGACTTTTGCGTCCCAGGATGTCCAACGAATATTAATAATGAA